GAGTGGCTTCGGGAGAAGTCTTTGAATGTCATTGAGTGGCCCAACCAGAGCCCGGACTTGAACCTGATCGAATATCTCTGGAGAGACCTGAAAATATCTGTGCAGCGATGCTCCCCATCCAAATGTGCTTCAACAAAAAAGGTGCTTCAACAAAGTACTGAGTAAAGGGTCTGAATACTTATGTAAATGTAATATTTCTGTGTTTTTTTTGTGTGCAAAAATGTCTAAAAACCTGTTTTTGCTTTGTCATTATAGGGTATTGTTTGTAGATTGACGAGGGGAAAAAAACAATTTAATCCATTTTAGAGTAAGGCCATAACATATCAAAATGTGGAAAAAGTCAAGAGGTCTGAATACTTTCCGAATACACTGAACCAAAAGTCACTTGCAACCTAACGTTAGTAGGCGAAGGCTCTCTATACCCGCGACTTGAATTGGGGCCATGGTCGGAGACGATGTCCTCCGGAAGGCCATAGTGCCGGAAAACCTGCTGAAACAGTGCCTCAGCGACCTGGAGAGCGGTGGGGAGACCAGAGAGAGGGATAAAACGGCAAGAGAATCTGTCCACAACAACCATAATAGTGGTGAAACCATCAGACGGAGGGAGATCAGTGACGAAATCAATGGACAGATGGGACCAAGGCCGCTGAGGCACGGGAAGAAATGTCCCTGCTGGAGCGTACCGGTGAAATTTTGTTTGGGCACATACGGAGCATGAATTGACGTAGCGGGCGACGTCTTGTGCTAAGGTGGGCCACCAGTACTTCGCGGGGATGGATTGAGTGGTGCGGGTGATACCTGGGTGTCCAGCGGCGAGGGATATGTGCGCCCATGTCACCAGCCGATCCCCTCACCTCCGTGGGGACGTAGATGCGCTCTACGTCATATGTTTTATGGTAGTTTCACCCTATATTGTGTACATACCTGTTAGCCTGAGCATTGAGGACATGAATAGGGTGAAAAGCACGGATCATGTTGACTGTACAAAGACCTGAACTAAAGTACAGTAGCAGGACAAGGCCATTCCTTTTCAGAGTGGTACCGTGAACATGACACTTGTGACAGATTAGACCTTTTAGTGGGAGGGCTTAGAAAATAGTCCTGCAGCAACAGGAAATGTAAATGATTGTGTGGTTTATAATTAACTGACATTTTTGTAGGGGTTGATAAATTTTTCGTTAGGGCAAATCAACTACAATACTTTTTAAACCTCAATTACACTACAAGTTTGCATTTCCTGCTGTGCAGGAAAATTGTCAGCAACAAAAGAGTGATCAAATTAAGATCTGTACAGTATATTGTAACTACACTGTTCTAGCTTTTTTAGTTATTTGTTGCAAAGCATTCTAGCTAATTTTCCCCCAACATCGGACACCCCCTAACTTCGGACACCCCCCAACATCGGACACCCCCTAACTTCGGACACCCCCCAACATCGGACACCCCCTAACTTCGGACACTCTCTAGCGGTTGGAGGACTAAATCACCTCGAGCTCAACATTTAAATGGACTGGAAAATAACGGTACGTTTTGCGACTAACGACACCCTTCTAGCTAGCTGACCACCGATTTTCAGTGCAATTTATGTAAGTTAAGTTAGGTTTTGAGAGTTTTCAAAAAAGTAATATATATACACATTTTGTGTGTAAAACCCGACTGCGCGACAGACCACACATAATTGAATATCCAACTTTTAAACTTTTAAATATAGCTAATGGATTTGCTAATGTTGCTAGCTTAGTTGCTAAATGTTGATAGAACTGCTAAGTAACCAAAAATGTTGTCAAGCTTTACCGTATCAAAATTGGAGTCTTCTGACGGGGGCGTTTTGCGCAATCTGCAAAAAGTAATTTTTAACTTTGAACCATGAACTTTTTGACACCTATCACTGTTGGCTATGTTTCATCTTACAACAGCTACATAGAGGCAGTATTTAGTCAAATTTTACAACGTATGCATCAATATTAAACTAATTGGGACAGTAATTTTCATTACAGATAACATCAAACAAAAAACGTGGGTACACTTTCAGTTATTGTGAAAACTTAAAATTATCACCTTTCAATGCCTTAGCTTTGAAATGTAAATGTTTATACATATTCAGATTGAGTTATCTTTCTAAAATGTGTATAGTATGCAAAGGTATTTAGCTACATGTATTAACACCACAGCATGGTGGGCTGCGGGGCAGGGATGGCTATCCGCCAGGCTGCCGAGGTTAGGCATCTTTTGTTTTTAGGAGATTACCATGTGTATGTGAATTTTATCTGCTAGTAACAGTTTTATTTTCTTATCTACCAAGGTGCATGGTGTACCTCGGCAGACCCTGGCGGAAAGGCTGAGCGGCCGGGTGACCCGTGGTTGTCACAAGATAACACTGTTGAAGGTAATATATTTCTTAAACACTGTTGAATATGCCGATAATACGGGGTTCCACGCTTGCTACTTCTGTATCATATTATAATGAGGTTAAATAGTTTGCGGCTGAGCTGAGTCATAGCTAGCTGCATTTTCAGAGTAGCTTCCCCAACCCTGGCCGCTACAGTGGTTTAAAGCAGGTTCTTTTTTTTTTTAGTCATTTAGCAGACGCTCTTATCCAGAGCAATTTACAGTTAGTGAATACATTTTTTTGTTATATACTGGCCCCCCGTGGGAATCGAACCCACAACCCTGGCGTTGCAAACGCCATGCTCTATCAACTGAGCTACATCCCTGCCGGCCATTCCCTCCCCTACCCTGGAAGTCGCTGGGCCAATTGTGCACCGCCCATGAGTCTCCCGGTCGCGGCCGGCTGCGACAGAGCCTGGATTCGAACCAGGATCTCTAGTGGCACAGTTAGCACTGCGATGCAGTGCCTTAGACCACTGCGCCACTCAGGAGTACATTGATGATGCAAGGTGATTTGCTCCCCAGTGGGTGGGCCTGCGCCGACCCAGGCCCACCCGTGCCTACACCCCTGGGGCTAAAAGCTACATGATGGGACTATGATTTGAAAAAGTCGCAAAAAAAATGCATGCACTGTTTCTTGCCTTAGAATGCACAAGCTGGGAGTCGTTCACAAGCGATAACGTTGTCACCCATCAGACTATTCTCTATGTAATCTGGTCTTCAAATGTACTGTATAATATATGTGTGAAATTAGTTTTGATTTAGAATGGGCCATTATCATGTAGGAACAGGGGGGCAGGGAAAAGGTTGCAATTGCGGCCTGCAATTAGGGGCGTTTATGCATGTGGGCATTCCTGCATCTGTAGGAACCCTTCTTTAGACTTCTATTGGTCAATTAATTTTTTACACAAACGAGAGGCGGGGGGGCTCCAGTACAGTAGGTGCCGGAAATGCACCATAACGTTGGATGCCAACGACAACGCCGGTAGCTAGCTAGCTAGGACAACGGTAGACAGCGTTTTCCTGCAGTTCTGTTAACGACGGTGAGGGCAGGTGTTCGGCAGGCGTCAGCAAAGGACACTGCTAGCTAACTAGGAACCAATGGGATGCTCGAGTGGGGGGGGGGGCATAGGAACGCCCCGAATTCCGGGCACAATCACACACTATTGTCCAGGTAGGCTACTCCAGTTGTAAAGAAATACATAGACACACTGGCTTTACTCAAAGCCAGTGGTATGTCGTTAGTAAAGATTGAAAAAAGTAATGGGCCTAGGCAGCTGCCCTGGGGAATTCCTGATTCTACCTGGATTATTTTGGAGAGGCTTCCATTAAAGAACACCCTCTGTGTTCTGTTAGATAGGTAACTCTTTGTCCAAAATATAGCAGGGGGTGTAAAGCCATAACACATACGTTTTTCCAGCAGCAGACTATGATCAATAATGTCAAAAGCCGCACTGAAGTCTAACAAAACAGCCCCCACAATCTTTTTATAATCAATTTCTCTCAGCCAATCATCAGTCATTTGTGTAAGTGCTGTGCTTGTTGAATGTCCTTCCCTATAAGCGTGCTGAAAGTCTGTCGTCAATTTGTTCACTATAAATTAAAGTGACATTGAGACAGCTGTTGCCAATTCCCTATCACCTCCTCCCTCCCTAAACGAATTGCCAGCCACGCCCCCTGAACTAGACACAAAATGAAATGGACACTTACCTTCAACGCACCGTTCGACCGGGAACCTCTCCACTGACAGAAGTCTGACTCCTCAGCCACTGTCCCCCCTCCACTGATAAGGAAAGTGCTTATTTCTAACATGTGAGTGTGACTCCCATTGTAGATCAGTACATACTCTAATTCTATGTTCGTTGTTCCCCTCGACTGCAGACACGGGGGGACACACCCGACCCAGCTCCGAGAGGCTATCAGTGCTACAACACAGCTGGAGCCGGCTTGGAGTGGAGGAGAGGAGAGCCCAGCAGCCAGCCATCGACTACCGTACCGGCCATCGACGATCGACTACTGGACCAGTCAGTGACTAACGAACCCTGCAAAGGTAGAGCCGAACGAAACCACCGAATGTCAAAACAATGCTCTGTGAGTGAAGCAACTGCTGTGCTAGTTTTACTGCTAATCCTAACTCTTAGCCTGCCTATACATTCTAACTGGGCAATTAGTGTTACTGCTAATCCTAACTCTTAGCCTGCCTATACATTCTAACTAGGCTCTTAGTGTTTACTGCTAATCCTAACTCTTAGCCTGCCTATACATTCTAACTGGGCTCTTAGTAATATTAAAACCATTAAAACAAATGCTTTTTATGCTATAGTCGCTTTTGATTCTCTGCTTGCATCCCAAGTGGCACCCTATTTCCTATATGGTGCACTGCTTTGGTGCACTGCTTTTGACCAGGGCCCTGTGCAGTCCCTTTTTAAATGTCATTATGGAGGAACACTGCCCCCTGGTGGAGAAGTGAGGAAGTACTGCAGCTAAACCATCTGAACCAGCCACTTATAACAGTATCATTACCGTCTGTTTGATGTCCAATGGTTCATAGCAAAGTGTTGTTGAAGACAGGTGCAGGTGTATAGAGCTGTAGTCAGTATTATATGAGAGGATCAGAGAGGGTTTTTGTAGAGGAGAGAGGGTATAGTGAAACACGGTGCATAACTAGCAGCACAGAAATACACTGCACTGTCTTCAGTTCCTCTCAGTTTGGGAATATGTAGATACGCCATTTTCCCAGTTGCAGCATCTCCACCCATAGTAAAACGCTCTTTGAAGGAATCTTCCACGGTTGGATTGGTGAGTAGCACATACCCGATGAGTTTCAGAGCAGTGTTTTGTGCTGACTGCTGGTACCACAGTATAATGTTGTAGTTTGGAATAGTATGGCTGCAGTTCAGTTGAACGTTTTCTTCAGGTCGTTTTATTATTGCTGTAGGAGTCTGCTGGACTTCGTCTGTTTGTGACATCCCTGTGGATGAAAAAACGGAACAACTAAAATCGACAGTATTACTCAACATATTGACAGCAATACATTTCGGTTGTAAATATCTTTCATGCTAACAGTGATTTAGTACCTGTCACCCACAGTAGAATTGCGACATGTATGAGAAGCTTGATCATGTTGATGGTTCTGGAGAGATGAGTGTCACATGGACAAGGAGAAAGGGTTTTTCAGAGATGTGTTGTCAGCTAGTGGGAGTGTCAAATGTATTGGTTGCATCCCAAATGGCACCCTATTCCCTATATAGTGCACTACTTTAGACCAGAGAATGGCACCCTATTCCCTATATAGTGCACTACTTTAGACCAGAGAATGGCACCCTATTCCCTATATAGTGCACTACTTTAGACCAGAGAATGGCACCCTATTCCCTATATAGTGCACTACTTTAGACCAGAGAATGGCACCCTATTCCCTATATAGTGCACTACTTTAGACCAGAGAATGGCACCCTATTCCCTATATAGTGCACTACTTTAGACCAGAGAATGGCACCCTATTCCCTATATAGTGCACTACTTTAGACCAGAGAATGGCACCCTATTCCCTATATAGTGCACTACTTTAGACCAGAGAATGGCACCCTATTCCCTATATAGTGCACTACTTTAGACCAGAGAATGGTACCCTATTCCCTATATAGTGCACTACTTTAGACCAGAGAATGGCACCCTATTCCCTATATAGTGCACTACTTTAGACCAGAGAATGGAACCCTATTCCCTATATAGTGCACTACTTTAGACCAGAGAATGGCACCCTATTCCCTATATAGTGCACTACTTTAGACCAGAGAATGGCACCCTATTCCCTATATAGTGCACTACTTTAGACCAGAGAATGGCACCCTATTCCCTATATAGTGCACTACTTTAGACCAGAGAATGGAACCCTATTCCCTATATAGTGCACTACTTTAGACCAGAGAATGGCACCCTATTCCCTATATAGTGCACTACTTTAGACCAGAGAATGGCACCCTATTCCCTATATAGTGCACTACTTTTGACCAGAGAATGGCACCCTATTCCCTATATAGTGCACTACTTTTGACCAGGGCCCAGGGGGTGAAAAGAGAATCATTCAATAGAGATGAGCAGAACTGAGCTGCCAGAGGGAAAGGAAATGACATCATGATGTACATTCTCCCGATTGGCGCAGTGGTCTAAGGCACTGCATCGCAGTGCTAGCTGTGCCACTAGAGATCCTGGTTTGAATCCAGGCTCTGTCGTAGCTGGCCGTGACCGTGAGACCAATGGGGCGGCGCACAATTGGCCCAGCGTCGTCCAGGGTAGGGGAGGGAATGGCCGGCAGGGATGTAGCTCAGTTGGTAGAGCATAGTGTTTGCAACGCCAGGGTTGTGGGTTCGATTCCCACGGGGGGCCAGTATGGAAAAGAATAATGTATGCACTCACTAACTAACTGTAAGTCGCTCTGGATAAGAGCGTCTGCTAAATGACTAAAATGTAAAAAAATGTACATTGATATTCAAACAGATGCATTGTTCTCCTGTTCAACTTAAAGGTGTATTGTGGAACATACCGGTAACTACGTCACTGTAAGCATTAGTCTTAAGATTTTCTATTCTACACTAATCAGACTTGAAATATGCTGTAATTTGAAGGAAATACCCGAACCGCTTCTTTAATGCAACAACTTCAACCACATTATTGGGTACGATCAAAGGTTTTAATATCAACTTCCTCCATGTGCCCAGGATATCTATAGCGGTTTACAGCAGGTGTTGATGTACACTACAGTTATGGAGTAAAGGATCAGAGGGTTTTTGTAGAGGAGAGAAGGGTATCTACATCACTGTGTTGGCTGGCTGCACAGTAATAAACTGCACTGTCTTCAGGTGCTCTCAGACTCAGTAGATGAAGGGAAGCCTCTTTCTCTCCATCTCCACGGATTTCAACGTGCTCTTTAAATTGATCTTCAACTGTTGGGTTCTTATAAAACACATATCCAATCAGTTTCAGATTAGTATCAGCTATTGATTGCTGGTACCACAATATAGTATTGTATGCACTAATACTATGGTTGCATTTGAGTATCTCTGTAATGTTGGGACTTCCCAATAGTGCTGAGGGAACCTGGATGACTTTACTGCCGAGAGAACGTCCTGTGAAGAAAACAAGAGATGAATATTTAAACAGACTGATTCATCAGACACAAGACTATTAGCAGAGAGTGTTTTCGGTATTAACAGACATTCTACAGGCATGTTATTTTTTACCCGTGAGCCAGAACAATGAGAGTGTGAACGTGATGAAAACTCTGATCATGATGACTGACTGAAAAATATGAAAAACTGACATGATGATGTCTCAATGCTGGAGGAGAGATATGAGCGTCTCCTGGATGAAGCTCTGAGGTGAAAGGAGAGGGGCTGATGTAGCAGCATATTTTATTTAGGGTGGTGGTTAGTGGGAGTGTCAGAAAGTCTGTACCGTAAAGCTGCTCATAGGACCTCACAGGGAACCTTTCTGATCATGACAATGAAATGAGACAGAAATTATTAGTAGTAGAACTAGAGGTCCCCCTACAGGACATGATGAGACCATCTCTTCAGATATTATCTGCTATCCGATATCAACACTGGGGGTTTAGTGCAGCTGTACTTGTTATATTATATCAACACTGGGGGTTTAGTGCAGCTGTACTTGTTATATTATATCAACACTGGGGGTTTAGTGCAGCTGTATTTGTTATATTATATCAACACTGGGGGTTTAGTGCAAGCGGTAGTGTGAATATATATAAAACACTGGGGGTTTAGTGGCAGCTGTACTTGTTATATTATATCAACACTGGGGGTTTAGTGCAGCTGTACTTGTTATATTATATCAACACTGGGGGTTTAGTGCAGCTGTACTTGTTATATTATATCAACACTGGGGGTTTAGTGCAGCTGTATTTGTTATATTATATCAACACTGGGGGTTTAGTGCAGCTGTACTTGTTATATTATATCAACACTGGGGGTTTAGTGCAGCTCTACTTGTTATATTATATCAACACTGGGGGTTTAGTGCAGCTGTACTTGTTATATTATATCAACACTGGGGGTTTAGTGCAGCTCTACTGTAATTGGTAGACCTGATAACAGGTTACAAACAGGGAGACCTGAAAACAGGTTACAAACAGGTAGACCTGATAACAGGTTACAAACAGGGAGACCTGAAAACAGGTTACAAACAGGTAGACCTGATAACAGGTTACAAACAGGTAGATCTGAAAGATAATCTACTAGTAGGTCATAAAGATGGACCTTCAGTTCCTTCAGAAAGTATTCACACCCCTTGACTTTTTCCACATTTTGTTGTTACAGCCTGAATAAAGAAATTGATTAAATTGAGATTTTGTGTCACTGGCCTACACACAATATCCCACTTGTCAAATCACCACCATAATAAGAGTTCAAAATGTCCAGTATTTCTGTGTTCATATTTCAGAACAACACATAGATTCAGAATAGTGAAAAAATGCATGCTTTGGGAAAGTAGAGCCACTCTACAAATGATGACTAACCCAACACAGTGGGGGAGACTGGGCCTTCTAAGCCTTCAAACAAGGGCTAAGGATTTATAAAATAATGATTTATAATAATAATATAATAATGATAATGACAGTATTTTCAATGATGTTTTGATTTAATCGCTTCAGTTTTTCTTGGAAAAGAAAGGGTTAACACTGAAGAGAAAAAAGATCCAATCAGGAATTTTCATTGCTGGTCTCCGGGGAGATAAATCTAGCTAACTAAGTCAGCCATTGGCTAGGCCATCAGAAGCTAGATAAAGGCATCTGCCGTTCAACTGTATTAGGGCAACATTTTTTGGAGTGACATTGGAATCAACCAATCACATTTTTAATTTAATGAGTGGGACTGTTTTTACCAAAACGTATGGAAACTTCTGCCTTCTCAAAGGCCAACAGGTCACTGCGCAATAGCGAGCAGTAGTTTTCTTACGGGCTAGCTAGCTAGCTTTTGTTGTCGGCTAGTTTACAGCGGCTGCAGCAGGTGTTATCAAAGAGGATGTTGTTGCTAAGTTGTTAGCTTCTCCCTTTTCAAGAATAACTTTCAACAAGAAGTTAAGTTTAAAATGATCATCATCTAGTGAGTGGAACTGTGGGTTTTTTAGCAGTGCGATTGCTGTTGTTAGCCATCTCTTTGAAAATAACTTATGTGTGTGAAACATTATTGCATTTAAAGTGGAACTGACAGATTTTTAGCAACATGACATCTTATTAAAATCTGTTCAAATACACACCCAGGAAGAATATGACACTTAAAAAAAAAAATTCTGACAAGCGACCACTTATATATGGTCATTTTTCACGTTTTCATAAATTCTTAGAACGTTTGGGAATTACGTATACTAAGGCATTTGTGAAAATTCTATAGCAATATAGAATGGGAAAATGGACGTGGGTTTGGACAATTAATAGACACTGCAGTAAATAAAAGTCTACACAGACCGGTGCACTATAGCCAATCAGAGCTACAGTAGACCTTTATACAAACAAGCCGTTTGCCACACGGGCCTGCCATCATTCACTTTGAACTGGACTGTGTGTTTACAGGCAGTTGCAACAGCACGACTTTAGATCATTAGAACAGATTCACCAAAAGCCATTTAAACACCACGGGAGTCCTCTTACATTTGGGAACTTTACAGTCCTATTGATCAAACAACCTTGAAAAGGTAAGCTCTCTCTCCTCCAGTTATGCACATTACCAACAACAAGATCAACAACTAATGCTAGCCAGAGCAAGATGAGCTAAAGATCTACTGATAAATCTGCACTGATAAACGATGGGGAATTGTAGCCTCCTCTTCCTTCTGCAGATTGCCTCCCATTTCATGCTAAGCTAACTGGCTAAAGTTGGCTGTTTTGCTAGCTAGCTACTTCCAGACGCAAAGAGAGAACACCTCACTCTGACCATTTTACTCACCGTAGCAGAGCTGGTTAGTCTGTTTACATGTTATCTAGAGCGTTCATCACTAACTCAGACTTTTTTTTTTTTGCCTACGTTTACTGACAACCGGTCATATTCAGCAGGTGTTGGCATGTTCCTAAATTCCCTGTCCACCACTGAAGGCCTATAGGTCACGACTGTCACACTGAAGGCCTATAGGTTCACCACTGTCACACTGAAGGCCTATAGGTTCACCACTGAAGAACTACAGGTTTCACCACTGTCACACTGAAGGCCTATTAGGTCACCACTGTCACACACTGAAGGCCTATAGGTTCACCACTGTCACCACTGATAGCCTATAGGTTCACCACTGTCACACTGAAGGCCTATAGGGTTCACCACTGTCACACTGAAGCCTATAGGTTCTCCATGTCACCACTGAAGGCCTATAGGTTCACCACTGTCACACACTGAAGGCCTATAGGGTTCACCACTGTCACCACTGAAGCCTATAGGTTCACCACTGTCCACACTGGGAAGGGCCATAGGTTCACCCCCGGGCCCCCACACGGGAAAGGCCTATAGGTTCCCCCCCTTCAAACCCCCGAAGGCTATAGGTTCACCACTTCAACCCTGAAGGCCTATAGGTTCCCACTGCACCACTGAAGGCCTTAGTTCCCACTGTCACACACGAAGGGCCCATGGTTACCACGGGCACACACGAAGGCCTAAGGGTTCCCACTGGCCCACGAAGGCCTTAGGTTCCACCACTGCAAAACTAAACCTATGGGGGTTCACCCTGTCACCCTGAAGGGCCTGAGTTCCCACTGTCACCCCGGGGCCTATGCTTTTTTTTTTGGTTTTGTTTTGGGTTTGGGGGGGGGGTTTTGGGGGGGGTTTTTTTTTTTTTTTTTTTTTTTTTTTTTTTTTTCTTGGGGGGGGGTTTTTCACCCTGTTTTTTTTTTGTTTTGGGGGGGGTTTTTTCCCATTCCAAATTTTTGTTTTTTTTTTTTTTTGTTTTTTTTTTGGGTTTTTTTTCTTTTTTTTTTTTTTTTTTTTTTTTTTTTTTTTTGGGGTTTTTGTTTTTTTTTTTGGGGTTTTTTTTTGCTTTTTTTTTTGGGGTTTTCCCTTTTTCCTTTTTTTTGGGGGGTTTTTTTTTTTTTTTTTTTTTTTTTTCCCCCCCTTAAAATAAAAGAAAGGAAATTAAGATAATACGGGGAAAATAAATTAGAACGAGTAATTTTTCGGGGGAAACATTGGGACTAAAATACAAAGTATTTTACATTTATGAAATGAAAAAAAAAAAGTGGTGTAAACATGATTAAAAGTGACCCCTCTTTGGTTCCATTATTTTAAAGTGACCAGGATTCCATTTTTCTATGGTACTGGGGACACACCTCTAAAAGGAGGTTTTAGTAACCGGGGGTACCCGGGGGTAGTTTTTAGGCTATTTAACAGTCCTGATGGGCCTTGAAAGGGGATAGAACGGTTTTTTAGTCTCTCTCCCCGCTTTGGGCACCTGTAATGACCTCCCTTTTGGATGATAGCGGGATGAACAGGCCGTGGCTCGGGTGGGTTGAAGTCCTTGATGATCTTTTTTGGCCTTCCTGTGACAATCGGGTGCTGTAGGTGTCCTGGAGGGCAGACAGGGTGCTAAATGATGAGCTTGGAGGGTGCAATGGTGTTGAAGGCTGAGTTATAGTCAATGAACAGCATTCATACATATTTATTTGTCAGGTCTAGATGGGATAGGGCCGTGTGCAGTGCGATGGCGATTGCATCATCTGTGGTGTTCTATTGGTGCGGTAAGCAAATGGAAGTGGGTCTAGTGTGTCAGGTAAGGTGGAGGTCATATGATCCTTAACTAGCCTCTCAATGCACTTCATGATGACAGAAGTGAGAGCTACAGTTACTTTCTTGGGGACAGGAGCAATGGTGGACATCTTGAGCAAGTGGGGACAGCAGACTGGGATACGGAAAGATTGAACATGTCCGTAAACACTCCAGGCGGCTGGTCTGCGCATGCTCTGAGGACGCGGCTAGGGTTGCCGTGTGGGCCGGCAGCCTTGCGAGGGTTAACACGCATAAATGTCTTACTCACGTCAGCCATGGAGAAGGAGAGCCCACAGTCCTTGGGAGAGTGCCGCGTCGGTGGCACTGTGTTATCCTCAAAGCGGGTGAAGAAGGTGTTCAGCTTGTCCGGGAGCAAGACGTCGGTGTCCGAGACGTGGCTGGTTTTTCCCTTTGTAATCCGTGATTGTCTGGAGTCCCTGCCACATATGTCTCGTATCTGAGCGTTGAATTGTGACTCCACTTTGTCTCTATATTGATGACAATTTGCCTTACGGAGGGAATAACTACACGGTTGGTATTCAACCATATTCCCCAGTTACCTTGTCGTGGTTAAATGCGCTGGGTTCGCACTTTCAGTTTTGCTTGAATGCTGCCATTTATACAAGTTTTTTTGTTTTGGGTTTTAAACGGTCAAATGCAGACATTTTGATCTCAATATCAAATAATTTCTGTATAACAATTGGTACCTTACTGTGATTGGCGTTCAATTAAAATGGTCAAAAGAAGAAAAAGATAGCTTCTTAGTAAAGAGCAATTAGTCAAGAAATTCATTTGCTAGGACAGTCCTGGGTAGTGGTCTGAGTGGGGAGGGGGACACTGAAAATGTGCTGTTTATTGGCAGAGAGGTTTTGGAACTCTTTCTTATTGGCCTATTAACTAATTTAATCGCATGGTGATGTCACCGGGGAAGGCCAAAACTCCATCCCCACCAAACAGGCTGAAATTTCGAGGCGGTCTTTTAAAACAGCTCTTACACTAAAAGGGCATAATCGTAATTTTCACAATTTCACAGTATTATTTCAACCTCATAGTGTGGAAATATATATAAAACACAGCAGAATCATGTTTCTGAATGCACTGGCCCCTTAAAACAGCAACATTTTCTTTACTCCCCATGGCAAAAATGTGTAGAATTTCAGGAAATATAATTTAAAACTAAAATATGTCTCTCCAGTCAAGAGGTTGGCCACTAAACTGTTTTGCTGCTAGGTGGGGGGGCCCCAGCTAAATCTCACTTAGGACCCCAAAAGGGAGAGAAAACGGGACATTGTAAACCGCATAATTTACAGTGGCTTGCGAAAGCATTCACCCCCCTTGGCGTTTTTCCTATTTTGTTGCCTTACAACCTGGAATTAAAATGGATTTTGGAGGGGTTTGTATCATTTGATTTACAACAACATGCCTACTACTTTGAAGATGCAAAATATTTTTTTGTGTGAAAAAAAACAAGAAATAAGAAAACTTGAGCAGAAAACTTGAGCGTGCATAACTATTCACCCCTCCCCAAAGTCAATACTTTGTAGAGCCACCTTTTGCAGCAATTACAGCTAAAAGTATTTTGGGGTATGTCTCTATAAGCTTGGCACATCTAGCCACTGGGATTGTTGTCCATTCTTCAAGGCAAAACTGCTCCAGCTCCTTCAAGTTGGATGGGTTCCGCTGGTGTACAGCAATCTTTAAGTCATATCACAGATTCTCAATTGGATTGAGGTCTGGGCTTTGACTAGTCCATTCCAAGACATTTAAATGTTTCCCCTTAAAAAAACCACTCAAGTGTTGCTTTAGCAGTATGCTTAGGGTCATTGTCCTGCTGGAAGGTGAACCTCCGTCCCAGTCTCAAATATCTGGAAGACTGAAACAGGTTTCCCTCAAGAATTTCCCTGTATTTAGTGCCATCCATCATTCCTTCAATTCTCACCATTTCCCAGTCCCTGCTGATGAAAAACATCCCCACAGGCATGATGCTGCCACCACCGTGCTTCACTATGGGGATGGTGTTCTCGGGGTGATGAGAAGGGTTGGGTTTGTGCCAGAACATTTTCCTTGATGGCCAAATAGCTCCAGTTTTAGTCTCATCTGACCAGAGTACTTTCTTCCATATGTTTTGGCGAGTCTCCCCACATGCCTTTTGGCGAACACCAAGCGTGTTAGCTTATTTTTTCTTTAAGCAATGGCTTTTTTCTGGCCACTCTTCCGTAAAGCCCAGCTCTGTGGAATGTACTGCTTAAAGTCGTCCTATGGACAGATACGTCAATCCTCTGCTGTGGAGCCTTTGCAGCTCCATCAGGGTTAAACTTTGGTCTCTTTGTTGCCTCTCTGGTTAATGCCCTCCTTGCCTCGGCCATGTTTGTTGTGGTGCCATGTTCCTTCCATTTTTTAATAATGGATTTAAGTGGTGCTCCGTGGGATGTTCAAAGTTTCTGATTTAAAAAATTATAACCCAACCTGATCTGTACTTCTCCACAACTTTGTCCTTGGTTTTCATGGTGCCGCTTGCTTGGTGGTGCCCCTTGCTTAATCTGGGGCCTTTCAGAACAGGTGTATATATACTGAGATGTGACAGATCATGTGACACTTAGATTGCACACAGGTGGACTTTATTTAACTAATTATGTGACTTCTGATGGTAAATTGGTTGCACCAGATCTTATTTAGGGGCTTCATAGCAAAGGGGGTGAATACATATGCACGCACCACTTTCCGTTATAAATGTTTTAATTTTTGAAAAGTAATTTTTCACACTCACCAATTGGACATTTTGTGAGTCATTACATGAAATCCATAATATCATTCACCAATTT